ATGGTCTTGGATTGCTTTAAAACTCAACAAATCAACAAACCCGATCGAGACAAGTTCTGGTTACCATGAATATACTCTGCAACTCACCAACACAATTCTCCATCAAACCTAGACTAAACTACTCTATGCATAATGGTGATCATCCTGCGCTAACAACCTAACATTATGATGCACTAACCCACGAGTTTTAGGTCCTAACAGTTTTTACAACCTGCTAACAAACATCACCAAACCACTCCAAACTCAACCTAATTGCTCTACTAACATCCTACATTATATCTAAACTAACAAAATCATGCTAAACTAACTAATTCAAGCTGTGGCAGAGAAAATGCACCTGGTGTAAAATCTTGTGGATGATGATGAAACTTGTGGATCTAAGAGTCTTGATGCTTGGATCTTGATCTACAATTGGTCTATTTGATTCTGTTTGCAACAATTGAATGAAACTTGGCTTGAATTGTGCTATCAACTTGAAACTTCAATTTTGATGTTGATGATGGAAGTGCTCGAAAATGGATTGATCACACCTTGTTCTTGGTTGAATTCTGATCTATGATGATGAATCAGTGTGATGAAGTTGATTTTGATGGTAATTGGTGAAGAATTTGAGGAATTGAAGTGAAAACACAATGAGAAAGAATGAGAGAATTTGGGAAATTCTTGGTGAAAAATGAAGCCAACCCTTGATCAATCTTCATTTCATGAATATATAGGGCTCATATGAACATTCTAGATCCATCTTACACATTCCCTTGCCTTCCAACTTTGATTCATTTTGGCTATGTTTCTTAAAATACAAGTAACCAAGGATAACTTTGAAATCTTCCACTAAACTCAAAAAAGTGCTTGAACCATTGTCTTTAGAATGTCTTTTCCATTCAAAATCATATATTGGAAGTCTCCATTTGGACTTATAAATCTCCCAAACCATTTTTCGTTTTGACTTTATTCAAATTATAAGCCATTTTAGTTCAAATTTTGACCAATCATGCAACTTCATGTTATGAGCTTTTCCAACAATTTGTGACCTTCTTTCTAGACTTAAAATCACATTTGGAGCAAGTTTGATGTTGTAAGTTTTTCCATTTGAAGCCTCCTTGTATGAGTTTTGGACATAGGTTAAAATGACCTGTAATTCACAAATGCCCAAAATACCCTTTGCTTGCCAAGACCATAAGTTGAGTTCCACACATCATATGAAGGCATACTATACCATTCTAGAAAGCTAAGACAATGAGGAACAATTCTTATGTTGACCAAGAATTCATTTGAAATCTCCTTGAGGGGTAAAACTAGCTTGGAAGTCAAGTCACTTTCACAGACAAAATTTCAGATACCTCAGATGACCTGTAACTTGCAAGGACCATAACTTGAGTTCTATAAATCTCCTTGATGTCTTCCACCACTCAAATTAAAGGTCTTGAGATCCTCTACAAGTTTCATGTTGGCCAAGAAGCCATTTGAAGCTAGCATTTTGACTTATCTTGCTTGGAAATTTGACCTAAACTAGGGGATTTTACACAGAAACCCTAATTTAGAAACTCCTCTTCTCCTTGATTTCTCTTGAATTCTTCTTGGCATATCTCCATATCCTTCTTCACATGTTCAATGATGAACCCCACATCTCTCCAATAGACTTGAATGCCCCTTAAATCAGTCAATTGACCTAGGGTTGACCCAGATGAAACCCTAGTTGACTGTCTTCAACTGTAGCTCTTGTGCTCTCATCAATGACTTGTCTCCTTCTCCAAATGACTTTCTAAGTCTCTCATAATGTCTAGATACTCTCCATGCCTTCAACTCACAGCTCACAACCCTCTTGTTGACCCTCAGATACCCTCAGCTAGGAGATGGACTCAAGGCTTGATCTGCTGAACTCTCTACTTTCAAATTCTTTTCTGATGACTTGAATGAGATTGAATTGGGATAATAACCTCTTGATAGGCTTCTAGAGATGAGAATAATGATTGGTCCCCTGTTGAATGATTTGATATGCTTATGCTATGCAGATGGTTAGTCTATGTACATGACTCTATATGCAAATGCTAATGACATTGAAACATAAACCAAGGAATAAGGTTGGGCAAATTTTAGGGTGCAACACATGGCATCCCCGCTCTTCATTACATCTACACGATTAAGAAAAAAGACACCATAGAAAGTTCAATCAAGTGAAACAAGGAAAATAAGGCATTGGTGCCACTTACCAAAAATTCTCTTTCTTTTCTCTTTTGATTGGGCATCCATCAGCCAACGAATCTGATTGTGTTTTTCGATCGGTACTCCAATGCCCCTATAGATGGGATAGCTCTGCCGACCCAGCCAAGCTCCTTATAGAAATCTGTTGTGGTTAGAATAGGATATCAAATTATTAATTAATTTGATTCGCATCTTTAGTTCACAACCGGTCTTTGATTTATCCGAAGGAAAGGTCAAAGAAAGGAAAACCTAATTTTGCATCGTAAATACAATGCGGGGAGAGATCTAAGGTTTGAAGGTTGGTTAAGCTTAAGGAAGGTATTAGCACCCTAAACTTTTGTAGTGCTCTACAGGAACCTCTTGTTTAATTTAGGCTATTTTACTTTTATATTTTCTTAAGGGTATATGCTAAGGGTTATAAGGTGAAAGAAAGACCTAAGGGATAGTCCTAAGTTTACTCGCCAAGACTCGCATCTTGTACCTACGTATCCGAGGTAGGGGATGGAATCAGAGTAATCCTAGTTCCCCTCGAAAGGGAGGTTAGAAACTTCTTGACGGTGGTCAAGGTTTCAATGGGGAAGTAAGCATTCTTAAGGAAGCGCTTACGTGGAGTGCGGAGACTCCTATCTCTATGTTAAAGTTGAATTAAAAGGTTAAAATAGGTATTCAACGGTGGGAAACCTAAAACGGAGTGCAGCGACTCCCTGTCCTAATGCTAAGGTCAAGGGCAAACTTGTCCATGGCGGGACGCCTAAAAATATGAGTACGACGACTCGAATTCTCTAGGTTGTAAAGTTGAATTGAATTAAAAAGGGTAAAATTTGGGGTATGACAAAATCCATTAACTGATTCTTTAAGTACAACTTCTCGAGGGACAAGACTCATTCCTTGTAAACATATGAGCTCGCCTCCGTCAAGTAATGACTTTGAGTCCAATACTTATGAAAGATGTCTGAGCAAGTAAAGGAACACCGAGTTTTAAGTGGCAGATTTTCACATGCACCTCCTCGGTCAGAGGAGCAATAAGGTAAAAGCGATCATCAAAATGATTCAGGTTGTCGGAGTAAGCCTTAAAATAACTGATATGTTGCCTAAGGAAAATATACCATAATTGTTTGCATTCTTGTGGCTGTTTTGAACTCTAAAAAGATGAAAGAACAACATCAAAATCAACTTACCCCTCTTATACTTGAATTAGTACTGTAAAACTTTAATCAATGCCCAACTCACAGGATGTAACTAGGAGGGGGCAATCAACAAGTGACTCAATACACTAACTTCGAATTCGTTGAAAGGAAGGGATAACACAAGCGTCATATCGATTGTAGATCCTCTTATCTTCATCTGAGGGAAACACCCCCCCCCCCCCGATCGGTTGCGGGGCCCATGTTTGTTAAAGCTCAATCAAATACACATTCATTAACAAATGCGGAGACATTCTCTAGTATGTTGGGATTCACCCAATTTCAAGAAATATCCTTACCAGCCTTCTTGGTCGAAGTTGATACTATCACCATGATAAAAATATGTTGTAAAAAAATTGAGGCAGGTACAATGAAGTAGGATATATTAAGTGATCACTATCTTGAAAGACTAAAGAGGGGGCAAGAGCAAAAAGAAAACATGGACTTCAGGACTCAAGAAGAGGGTCAGTCCAACATGCAAAACCAATGTCGATGAAGAAAATTGTCTAAACCTGATTCAACGACAAAATAAACGCTCTCGAGAAAGAACAATAAAGGAAAGAAAACACTTTCTTTGTAGATCGCTAATAACAAACAAGTTAAAGTAACATTTCAAAAGATCTTTATACTTTGTTCAGGCATTGAGGACTGTATGATCTACCCCCACCACCAACGGTTGAGATCCTCTCAGAAACGGCTCGAAAGCACTCAAATACTCTAAAGAAGGAGAAACACCATTGCTAGCTAGCAAATAAAGGTGTATTAGTCATTCACAAGTTACGTATGACTCCCAATAGGGGAATTTAATGTGTCCATTTCCAAGAATGAGAACGTTCCGTTTGAGACTTCCATTACCACAAATTCTGTGGCTGAGTAATGATGTGTGTCACAATCCCTCGCCTAGCAAATTAGAGACAAGGGCTTGGGAAAAACTGTTTTGGACCGTCTGCAAAGTCCAAAAGACAAAGGCCTAATTATGAGGTAGTAAGTTACTAAACGTGGAATAGGTGTATCCCTTTTCCCGCGTGTTGCAGGTAACTTCTCACGAGAACGACATGCTAACATCTCATAACGTTGTCCCACACATGTGTTGTTATCAACCATACCCCTTATTTAAAGAGGAAAGTGTGTCACATCACAAATATTCAAATTTTTTATCATTCAAACTCCACTTTTCATTCTCTTATTAAACTACATTTGAGTGTCAATCTTACATATAAACTTCTTCTCCACCCCCGCATCGAAAGTCGCAAACCACCACAACAGACTCTAATAAATCCACTCATTTTAATCAACAGAAACTTATTGCCTGTCTTAATTCAATTTCATCTACTATATGTTAATAGAATTTTATTTTTAAACCTTTAGAAATTGTAACACATAAGATTTGAGTAACTTGGATTTACCCGCATACTAGTAATATTTTGCATTTATCAAATAGTTACAATTGTAAACATAGTTTGCCTTGACTCCAGTATGATTGATTACACTTAAACATCTAAAGAAACACAACTTTATGAGCCCACTGAAATTAAAGTAGTAAATACTTAAGGGTGGTCCATTCAAAGATACAATAGGGAACAATAACATGTAACCAAACAGTGAGTAAAAGTCCTATTCAGTGGCATGTATCTTGACAGGAAATTCCTTTTTAACCCAATCCAGATAACCTCCACCCATGTTGGAGACATCCTTAAACCCCTGCCAATTCATATATAGGAGTTAAAACAATTACATGAAAAGTGTATTAAAGTTGACATGAATTGACTTACTTCTGCCAGAAGGTCAACAGTTGCATATACAGATCTCACTCCACTTTGGCAACCCTGAAATTCAGATTTCATATAAATACATATGTGAATGTGCAAGGTTGAAATTAAACTAGGTTTTGATTAATCATGGTACCACTATGAGATGATCTTCTTTCTTGAAAAGAGACAAAACCTCCTTCAGAAAATCTGGGTTCTTCACCCTCCCTGTTTCCCAAAAGCATGTGATTTTCATACTAAAAATTGAATTTGTAATTATAAAGCCTATAATACAGTAAATAAAACAGCATACCCTCAGGTGTATTAAACATGTATGCAATGTTAACGATCTTCTCAGAATCCACGTGCCCTTTCTGAAACTCTTCCACCGTTCTAAAAAACAAATTAGCATAAGAAAAAAACAATTCAATATTGACAAAAATCCAAGAAAATAAAACAAAAAATTGTTACCTGACGTCAAGATAAACATGGGTGGTCTGGATGAGAGACCTGGCTGCAAGAACATCAACGGTGAGAACCTCAGGTTCTGTGCTGTAGGTGCAAAAAGAATATTAAGAGACTGAAATAAATTCAAAATAGTAAAATATTGAATGGTTTAGATAAGTGTGAGATGAACGAAACCTTTGAATTTCAATAGAACCCATGAGAAAGAGGAGTGTATGTATGTGAATACTGAATAGATATATATATAATAAAAGAGAGGAAGATAATATAGTGATGTACCTGGACCTGTAATGGATTTATGTACAATAATTTAGAGGATAAGTAGTGAATTGCTTGACGAGTCAGATTGTTTGCGGAGTGAATCGGAATCCAGTTACATGGGAGGAAGTACACCAATCAACCACCTCTTATGTTATTATTATACACTAAAATCCATTATAGTAACTTTTGTTTGAAGACAAATATTTCTGTATTTTATGATTAAAAAATTAAGAAGGTTGTTTAGGTGATTCGAGAGGGTTTTTGGATTTTTGTTTTCAAAGTGGTGGTTAGAATGCTCGTTCACGGCTTGGTGTAGGCATTATTAAATATAAAAATCAAAAGTATAAAGCCTATTTTTTATAGATTAAATTAAAAAATGAATTCATTGTCATTTTGTTTTCAAATTTAACTAGCCAATTACCGGTGCTTTCGCACGGTTTATTATAAAGTATTATTGAAATATATAATAATATTTAATATTAAAAAATATCTAATAAAAATAATTAACATAATTGAAATTAAAAAATAAAAATAATAGAAAGTTATGAAAAATTGACTTAGTTAGTAAAAAATAAATTCAACTAAAAAGTTGTAGGTTTAAATTTCTTCAGATGTGAGAATTTTTAAAGAAATATTTAATTTTTTATTTTTATGGAAAGAATAGTTTTTGTATTCCTTTAATATTTTTTACATGAAAAATAGGGAACTTGTTTATTGTGATATATATATCAAAAGAAAATATTTATTTCATTTATTTATTCGTGAAAGGTATTTATCATAATTTCCTATATGTATTTATTAATGGAAAAAAATTACCCACTACTTTTTATAATAAAAATCACCTTTTCTATATTTTAGTAATAAATTTTTATTTTGTATTTATTTTAAGAATTAGTAGTAATAAATATTTTATAAGTTTCTAAAACATGCCAATATTTCGTGAATTACTTTTATTAAAAAAATCATAATCTAGTGGCAAGTATGTGTCTTATGTATATGTTTCAAGCCTTCTTTAATAATTTATTTTCTAACAGAATTGAAGTGTGACAAAAAACCTTTTAATATTATTTAAATTATTTTAATATTTGATCTTACCGGATCAGAAAAGAATCAACAGTCTGTCACGTGTCGTGAGCTCTTGTATTTACCGGTGTTGAAAAGGAGGAGGGGGTATACCTGCAAGGTATTCCGATGCTAAAGTGAGTAACGGAGTTAGAGAGAGCAAGTAAATAAAAAAGATATAGAGTTTAGAATATTTGACCCTGTAGTGAAATAGGGTATTTATAATGTGCCCCCGACGTAGGGCCAACGATTACTTTGCATTGAGTCAGATTGCAAGGCCCAATACGAGTAACTGTCAGGGCTTACGTGGCGTAGGGAAGACCATCATGTGGTCTTCGTCCTGTATCAATTGCCCCGTGATCTTCGGAAGGTGGGATGACCGGTTCTTTCGGAAGTGGATCGTTCTCTGATGACGTGTCCCCACGTGGGGGACACGTGGAGTCCGTGAGGGAGACGTGTGAGAGCTCCCCGTGCTAGGTTGTGGCCTGTCTGACAGTGGAGCGTGTTTGACAGGGGAGGAGGATTAGGTCTCGTTGGACCTTCCCAATGTGATGTTGGGTTGGCCTGCCCGACAGTGGGGCAGGTACTGGCCCAGTTCAGAACAGGAGCCTCAAAGTCGTTGCTCCAAGGCAGGGGAGTAATGACTTAAGAAGCAGTTCAGACGTCGAGGACCCGTCTGGAGAAGCGGCAGCTTGTCCGGAATACCGAGTTGGGGGCGATGCGCGTGGCCAGAATTAAAAGATGCTCGACAAGACAGGAGGTCGCGGGGAGGTCTGTCTGTCGTCCCTATTACTAGCCCTTCTTCCCCCTCTGGGTGTGTCCCTGTTTGGTGCTCTAGTCGAAGATATGACGGGGGTAGAAAGGGAACGGGCATGCTTGGTCTCCTGGCATGAGGGGAAGCTGAGAGGACACACATGGTATCTTCTAGCGCCACGTGTCACGTGTAATTAATGCCTAGGGCGGCTATGCGTAGGGGCACTTTAGTGCCTAGTGTGCCTCGCTTCCCATGCTAAGGTTATAAATAGAAGGGAAACTCCCTTCATTTTCATGCTTCCTCTTCATCTCCATCAGAATTCTCTCCAAGTTCTTCAGACTACGTCCGTCGTCACTGTTAACCACTCTCTGTCGTTCAGATCTTCTTTCTTCAAGTAAGTTTTCATCTCCTATCTCCAGCATTTTGAATTTACTGGCGACTTTCTAAGGAGAGTGTAGGATTTAGGGGGGACGTTTGAATTTTCTGGCGACTTACATGAAGTTTCCGACGTAACTATGAGTTTTTCGTTCGTGCTCATGAAGTTTCCGGTCAAGACGCCGGGAAGTTCATGAGGATTTTGGGAACTTCGTGAAGTTCCCGATGAAGGCCTCGAGGACCCGTGATGAAGGTCTCGGGGAGCTGGGATGAAGGCCTTGGGGATCCTTACTCCTTGCAAGCGTGCAGATATTACGGGGAGGTCTCTCTCGAAGGGTCTCCCCGCGTCTGTCGGGGTCTTCTCAATTGGGGAGCCTTACTGTCAAGGAGGCTCACCGTGTCATGTCGACGGGGGGTTTCTTCGTGGATGAGTCTCCGTCAAGGAGGGGGTATGCTACTCTGCGTCAAGGAGGGCTTGTCCAGGGGCTACTCGTTCCTTCTTTCGCCATTTCACTTGATTTGCGGTGGAAGGGTCGATTTGATCTTGGAAGTCGAATTCACCATTTTCCTCTGCTTTTCAGGTAAACTGGATGTAAAGATTAAGGGTGTCATCCATATCGACGACGAATCTGATCCCGACACTTCCGTCGAGGTTGTTGAAGTCGAACAAGTTCGTACACCTGAGGATTGGGCCGGGCAAGAACCTCTTAACATCGCTCCATGTTTCACTTTCGACGACAATGACACTTTTTCCACGGTCGAGGACTGTCTCGAGGGTTCCTCCTTGAGCTGGATGGTTTATAAACCCAAGGATAAACATCTCAAACGAGCTCAATCTTGAATTCTTCACATATCTCTTTCATCATTCTATTGTTCAAGTTGAAACTGTTGTCAGTAATGATTTTGCTTGGCACACCATATCTACAAATGAGTTGATTCCTGATAAACTTAACAACCACATGTCTGGTCACATTGGCATAAGAAGTGGCTTCGACCCATTTGGTGAAATAGTCAATTTCTACTAGGATAAAACGATGTCCATTAGACGCATTTGGTTCTATTATACCAATCATATAAATTCCCCACATGGAGAATGGCCAAGGAGACGAGATAACATTAAGCAAAGTTAGAGGCACGTGAATTTTATCTGCGTAAATCTGACACTTGTGACATTTCTTAGAAAAATTATAACAGTTTGATTCCATTGTGATCCAATAGTATCCTACCCTCAGGATTTTCTTACCCATAGCATACCCATTAGCATGAGTGCCAAAAGATCCTTCATGAATTTCCGTCATTAACATGTCTGCTTCCCGTTTGTCAACACATCTCAGCAAGACCATGTCAAAATTTCACTTGTATAGTACATCATTACTTAGGAGAATGTTACCAGCCAATCTTCTCAATGTCTTCTTATCTTTGTTGGATGCCCCATACGGGTATTATTGCTTTCGAAGGAACAATTTAATGTCATGATACCAAGGCTTGTCATCTTCAATATTTTCTATTGCATATATGTAAGCAGGTCTATCTAGACGGTTTAAATCAACCCTGGGACAATCGTTCCACCAGTTGACCACAATCATTGAGGCCAATGTTACCAGAGCATCTGCCATCCTGTTCTCGTCACGAGGAATGTAGTGGAATTCGACTCTATTGAAGAAAGGTAATAGTCTTCTTGCATAGTCTCTATATGGTATCAGGTTATCTTGACGAGTCTCCCATTCTCCTTTGATTTGGTAGACTACCATAGCGGAATCACCGTATACATCCAAATTCTTGATTCTTAGGTTTATTGCCTCTTCAAGGCCCATTATGCATGCTTCATATTTGGCTTCATTGTTGGTACACTTGAATGTTAATTTGGAAGTAAACGGGATGTGAGATCCATGAGGAGTCACAACAATTGCCCCAATTCCTTTCCCATGAGCGTTGACGGCTCCATAAAAAATTAAACCCCACTGAGAATCTGGTTCAGGTCCTTTGTCTGGTAGAGGTTCTTCGCAATCTTTCATCTTCAAGTACATCACATCCTCATCAGGGAAATCATCATTAGTAGACTGATAGTCCTCAATAGGTTGATGTGCCAAGTGATCAACTAAGACACTTCCTTTAATAGCCTTTTGAGTATGGTACTCTATGTCATATTCTGATAATAGCATTTTCTATCTTGCAATTTTTCCAGTCAAAGTAGGTTTCTCGAAGATATATTTGATCGAATCCATCTTGGAAACTAGCCAAGTAGTGTGACTTAACATATATTATCGTAAACACTTGGCAGCCCATGCTAAAGCACAACAAGTCTTAGCATGGTGTATCTGGATTCGCAGTCTGTGAACTTTTTACTCACATAATAAGTAACATACTTTTGTTTCCATGTTTCATCTTGTTGACCAGGTACATAGCCCATAGAGTCCTCCAACACGGTCAAATACATGATTAAAGGTCGTCCTTCAACTGGAGGGATCAGAATAGGAGGTTCAAGCAGGTATTCTTTGATACTATTGAAATCCTTCTGACAGTCTTCAGTCCAAACATAACCTTGTTCTTTTCTCAAAAGCTTAAAGATAGGTCCACAAGTAGTAGTCATGATAGATATAAACCGGGAAATATAGTTCAAACGTCCCAAGAATCCTCTGACCTGTTTCTCTGTAGTAGGGGCTGGCATTTCTTGATTGGCTTTAACCTTGTCAGGATCTACTTCAATACCTTTCTGGATAACAATGAAACCCAAAAGTTTCCCTGACC